ATGCCATGTCATGCAAATAAGTTGGATTCAAGTGAGTGAGGGCTGTGCAAAGTCATTAGCCTCACTTTCTCCTCTGAAGCCATCTGGTCTAGTGGCCAGATACACATCAGGATGACTGGAGATAGCCCCAGAAGCAGGAGAAGACCTTGGTCTTTAGCAGGTCTCAGTTTGACTGAGACAATGCCCATCCAGAATTAAGGCTAGATAAAAAAAAAATGAGGCAAAGAATGGCCTCTTTAACCTAGTCCTGAAAAAAAAAAATCTAACTGGGAAGGGAAGACCCTCAGAGTTTCTGGCCAAAACCAAAACAATTCCTAGTTAAATTCACTGGAATCAATCAGGGCTCAAACAATGACCAAGTGAGGTTTGGTCTAGGACCTACTGTTGGCCAATGAATGAGAGCCAGAGTGATTTGGGTTTAAGGCACCACCCTAAAGAAAGAAATCTAGCTTGTAAACCCCAAGAAATGTTGCGATGAAGTTTCAGAAGGGAGGGAGGAAAGAAGGAAGGAAAGGAAAAGGGAAAGGAAAGGAGAAAAAACAGAATTTAAGAGAGCAAGAGAAAGAAAGATAGAAAAGAGCTGTACTGCTCATCAGTAGTCCTGATGCGTATCTGGCCACTGGATCCAGATGGCTCCAGGGGAGAAAGTGAGACTGGTGACTTTGCACAGTCCTCACTCACTTAAATCCAATTTACTTGCACGTCATGGCACCACCTCCACAATGTCATGGTCCTCTTCGAGAATGAAGAACAAACAACAACCCTGTGAGTAGTAGGAGCTGCCCCACTGGATACCCAACTGGTACTGGACAGTTGGGTAATACAGTTCTTTTTTGTTTGGGAGCACCGAGAGGTTAAATGACCTACCATTTGAGAACTCAAGGCTTTCTGTCTTAAGAGAACAATTCTTCATCTACTATGCCTTGATGCCTTTATGTGTGAAATTAGACTAGCTGCCCCAGATCTTAAATTGTATTATAAAGCTGCAATCATCAAAACTACTTGGTACTGGTTAAGAAACAGAGTGGTGGATCAGTGGAATAGGTCAGGTACAGAAGACAAAGTAGTCAATGCCTATAGTAATTCACTGTTTGATAAACCTAAAGACTCCAGCTTCTGGGTTAAGAACTCACTATTTAACAAAAACTGCTGGGAAAACTGGAAAACAATATGGTAGAAACTAGGCATAGATGAACACCTTACAAAGTATGCCAAGACAGAGTCAAAATGGATACACAATTTAGATATAAAGGATGATACTATAAGCAAATTAGGAGAGCAAGGAACAGTATACCTGTCAGATTTACTGAGAATGGAAGAATTAATGACCAAACAAGAGAAAGAAAACATTATGAAATACAAAATGGATAATTTTGATTACATTAAATTGAAAAGTTTTTGCAAGAACAAAGCCCATGCAACCAAGATTAGAAGGGAAGCAGAAAGTTAGGAAACAATTTTTACAATCAGTGTCTTTGATAAAGGTCTCATTTCTAAAATACATAGAGAACTGAGTCAAATTTATAATACAAGTCATTCTCTAATTCATAAATGGTCAAAGGATATGAACAGGCAGTTTTCAGAGGAAGAAAATAAAGCTATCTATAGTCATATTAAAAAAACTCTCTAAATCACTATTGATTAGAGAAATGCAAATTTAGACAACTCTGAGGTACCACATCACACCCATCAGATTGGCTAACATGACAAAACAGGAAAATGATAAATGTTGGAGAAGATGTGAGAAAATTGTTATACTAATGCATTGCTGGTAGAGTTGTGAACTGATCCAACCATTCTGGAGAACAATTTGGAACTATCCCCAAAGGGCTATAAAAATGTGCGTATTCTTTGACCCAGCAACAGCACTTCTAGGTCTGTATCCCAAAGAGATCATAAAAATGGGGAAAGGAAACCACTTGTACAAAAATATTTATAGCAGCTCTTTTCGTGGTGTCCAAGAATTGGAAATTGAGGGGATGCCCATCAATTGAGGAACTGTTGAACAAGTTGTGGTATATGAATGTAATGGAATACTATTGTTCCATAAGAAATGATGAGCAGGCAACCGTTAGAAAAACCTGGAAAGACTCACATGAACCGATGCTAAGTGAAGTGAGCAAACCCAGGAGAACATTGTATATGTTAACAGCCACGCTGTGCTATGACTAACTTTGGTAGGCTTAGCTCTTCTCAGCAATGGATCTAAGACAACTCCAAAAGCCTCATGACAGAAAATGCTATCCACATCCAGAAAAAGAACCATGGAGTCTGAATGCAGATCGAAGCATACTATTGGCTCTTTTTTTTTGTTTCTTCTTTCTCATGGTTTCTCCTATCGATTCCAATTCTTCTTTACAACAGGACTAATGTATGTTTAATATGTATGTATATGTATAGCCTATGCCAGATTGCATGCCTTCTTGGGGAAGGGAGAAAATTTAGAACTCAAAATCTTATGGAAGTGAATGTTGAAAACTAAAAATAAATGAATGAATGAATTGGGGGTGAGGGGAGAAGAAATTAGGGCCCTGAAACAGATGTTCTCCAACGTCCCTTACAGCTTTGTGTAACACCTATAGAGCGCTAAATTAAGAAGACAAAAAAAGATGGGCTTGAATTCTACCTCTGATACTTAATAGCACTGTGATCATGAGCAAGTGATGTAATCACTTTTAGCCTCAGTCTCCTTAGCTGTAAAACGAAAATAATAATACTTGAAGAGAGGCAGGATGATGGAGTAAGTGCACAGAGTGCTGGCTTCAGTCATGGAGATAGGGGATCATTGTCAACCCTCTGCATCTGCTGTGTAACCCTGGACAAATCACTTAACCTTTATGTGCCCCAAGGCAACTATGACAAAAAAATTAGAGAGCAAGCCAGCTCTGCAATGTAGAGGCAGTCTCTTTACTCTGGGTTCCCTTCATCAATGAAATCACAGATCTGGTCTAAAAAAAGAAAAACAACAAAAAACAAAAAACTCTGCAGCAACAATAAGGCCTATAAGGTGACTTACCTAATAAGTAAGATGCTGTTTACATACCTTGTAATTTCTTTGATATAGGGAACTCCCTGTGAGAAAGTTCCTCTCTACCAATGCAGATGTTTTATAACTTACTGTCTCAGAGAATAACCTAGGGCACTGAGAAATTAGGTGATTTGGCCAGAGTTACATCAAAACTGGGACTCAAGTTTTCCTGACTCTGAGGCTGGCTCTTTATCAACTATACTACCATATCATGTAGCCTCTATGATAATCATCAAAAATATTATTATATCTTATAATGTTTGACTAGTTAAGGTTAGGTCTGAACTCTACTATTCCTTTTCCTCCAATCAAATGCGATGTAGGTTTGAGCAATGCACTTCTAAAAGCTACTAACAAAATCCAAGTCTTGTAATCTTCCTCAAGTACTAGTTCCAGACAAGGGAATATTTAACAAATATTGAATAATGACAAGAGAAAAGTAGAGAGAAGCCTTGTTTGTTTGTTTGTTTGTTAAGTTTAAAGCTTGCTACTGGAAGAGTAACCTTGACAGCAAACAAGGAAACTTCTTAAAGTGCTGTTGTTTTTTTCAAATGGTCCTACCTAAGGATTCCATATCAAAAGACTGAAAGGGATTCCATATCAAATCAGTCTCTCTTGATTTTTAGTTCAAGCCAATACAATTTGTTTTATTAAACTGTTCAGTATTTAAGGTCCTTTGGATGACTAAATACAGTGGAAAGAGGGCTGGATCTGGAGTCAAAATAACAACAGTATACAATACAACAAATATATTACAGGTATAATATACTTATTTCCAATAGCATTTAGAATTTTATTAATGCATTTTGTTGTTAATACTAGTCATTTTCCAATTTTAGGCAAAGTGCTTCACAAACCTTAAATTATGACATAGTACTAGTTATTTTTATTCCCATTCTCCCTCTTGTCCCCATAAACTCTCCCTTGTAACTAAGAAACACTGTCAAAACCTAAAGGCAAAATGACTGTCCATAAACACAACATTTGCTCCCCTGGTCCTCCCCAACTCCATCAAGAGGGGGAAATAAACTTCATTTCTCCAACAACAAACTTTTAAAATTCCTAATGGCTCTATAAACAAAAGTTCAGACAAACAATGGCCAACAAAACACTAATTTGGAAAATATCCCCAAAGTGCAATCTTCATAAAACATCTCCAAAAACCTAACCTAACCCTGATAGGAAACTGCTACAAATTCATAATAAAAACTTAACTAAATACCTTTAAATAGCAAATAAGACCCCCAAAAAAATCACCTTCAAACTTAGACCAGAATAGAAAACCCAGATTTAACTTCATCTGCCACATCCCCTACCCAGCAACCCTACACTCTTTTCTTCCTAATAAAGTGGGATCAAATCAAGGAAACAGAATTTGGAGCTGCCAGCAACTTCATTGGTCACCAGGGCTTCTGACTATGCTATGCACTTTTGTATTTTGGGTCTAGTCTTAACCTGTGATTTTATTGGTGGAGAGGGAGAACTGTCTCCAAACGCGCATCTGTGCAACTCATCTATAACTTTTAGTCTTCGAAGGAGGCTGGGGATACCGAGTTTAAAGTGGCTCACCTATGGTGACTAGTATAGCTCGGGGCAGAATTTGAAGTCTGGTTTTCCCGAATCCAACCCCGGTCCTCCACAATACCCCATATACTACTTCTGCACACTGTAGCCCCTTAACAATTGCTTTCTCCTTGGTGTTATTAAATGACTCACTCTAGGAAAGAAAACCCACAACTCTGCAGCTTAAACTGTTCTAAAGAAACGTTGTCCGGTGGCACTGAAAAGTTAAATGACCTGCCTTAGTCACTAAGACCGGATGTATCAAGAAACAAGACTTGGAATCGAGTTCTTAGTAACTCCAAGGTCAGTTACCCATCTCCTATACTTCTCTAAGGGGTGGGGTGAAACTTGCTAAATTGACTCTAACCCAATCCCTTGATTTTATTAAAGAAAAAAAAATGTAGCACACCAAAGGAAAGGGGGTCCTTCACAGGACTGCAGTCCGGGTTTTCTGACTCATTCCAAACATAACTTCTCCTGCGTGAACTCAGTCTATCCAAGAGGACCTGGTTAAAGAGACCGTGGCTGGAGATCTTAGCCCCAAGTGGACAACCTGCTGGAAGGGAAGGAGCACAGCTGGTCTTCAGGTGCCCACAGCGTTTCCTGCTTCGTAAAAGGAGGCAGATGGGCAAGAGCAGGGGGGCTTAACTTTGTGGGGTCCTAGGCCCCTCTGAAGGGTAAAGCCCCTTCTCGGGGCAATGTCTGTAACGTCACAAAGTAAGACGTCTAGGATTTCGAGTATACTGAAACAGCAAAATTATTTTTTTTTTTACGAGCTCAGGAGCCCCAGGTGAGGAGCTCCAGAGGATCGCTCTCCACGCCCCCTTTGGGCTCTGAACACGAGATCATGGGGCTCAGTATGCCCGTCCCGCCAGGCCCCGGCTCCGGCAGTCTAAGGCTGGAGGCCCGGCTCGTTCCTGCCCCGAAGCCCGGGTGCGTCGTTCCTTCCCACGCGATGGCCGTGCTAGGTGCGTGCCGGGGCTGACCAGGCCTTCGCTCGCCCCAGGGGGTCGCTTTTCGCAGACTGCGAGGGGTGGGAAGGTCGTATTGGGCTTCGGGGGGAAGAAGCCGCCGGCACCGCCTCGGAAAACCCAGGAGAGTCCAGCCGGAGGCCCCGTGAGGGAAAAGCCCGGCCCCCAAAAATGCTCGGGTCACCCCGGGGGACTCTCTCAGGAAGACGCCGCCGCCCCCTCCCCCATGGGTCTCTCAGGCCTCTGGGACAATCCCCGGCATCCTCCCGGCCCCGCCGCCGCTCACCTCTAAGCACCTCGGGCCAACGCCAGCCGCGGCCTCGCCTCCGCCTCCCGCCAAGAGCGCGCACACCCCCGCTCAGAAGCAGCCTCGGTGCGCGCGCCTCCGCCGGACCAATAGCGGCACTCCTGGGCTACGGTCAGCCCGCAGGGACAAAAAGGCTTCCCTCTAAAAGTGCCTAAGCTCTTTCAGAAGAGTTTGACTCCTGCCTCCTCCCCGTGCGGCTGCAGTAACTGTCGTTAAGCTGCCGGGGGCGGGGTGAAGGCCCGTGAGGGGCGTGACCGAGTCAGCGAGGGGCGTGGTCAATACCAGCGAGGGACGGGTTTAAAGTGGTGGGGGCGGAGGTGTTAGTGCCTGAGAGACACAGGAAGTCCAAATCAATGGACCTAGGTGGCACAGGGCTACCCCCAGTGATGGGTGTGTGGTGTGGGTGTGATCATCACAGATTTAGAGCTGGTTTGGATGATAAACTGTGGTCCAGAGAGTCTAAAGTGACTTGGCCAAGGTGTTAAGGCAGCATTCAATCTCCAGTTTTATCTACTAAGTCACCTAAGATTCCTAGGAGAGGAGAGGCAGAAAAGGAGAGAGAGAGAAAGATGGGGCAGACAAGAGGAGGAGGGTGTGAAGAAGGGAAGGAGAGAAGCGATGGAGAGGGAGGAGAAAAGGGAGGGAGAGAAGAGAAGCAGCCAAGAAGCAAAGGAAATAAGGATGGGAGACAGGAGACAAAAGAAAGGGGGAGAGAAGAAAGATTGAAGAATGGGAAGGAGGAAGAAGGGGTAAATGCATAGAGGGGAGAAAGAAGGAAAAGGAACCGGGGAGAAAAAAAATGGAGAAAAAGAGGAAAAGGGATGCAATGCGTGCATGGGGTGACCACCCACACTGTAGTGTTGTCTCTTCTCTCATATAGGGTATCATCTCTTCCCTTCTTGTCTCTGGACTGACACCGTCACTCCAACCTTTACACTAGGTTCTCAGAGAAAAACCACCACCATGTGGGTTGGTTATACCAGTACCAGTGGTGAGGGGAAATATAATCCCCCTACTCGTGACTGTAGCTTTCAATCTCCCTTTTGGTGTGCTTCTCTATACTTAAATAGCCACTAACAATAATGATACCTTTTGATCTTGAACATAATCATTTACTTAGCAATAAGACAAACAGTATAATAGTAGCATCATAGATAACACAGTAAAGCAAATGCAGAAATAATAAGTCCATCAAAATCCATACATAAACCTGAGTTACTCTCTCCCACCAATGCACTCAATATCTATTGAGAGAAGTGGTCAAGAAGAACAAGTGAGGAAAGTCTCACGAGGAAAGGCTCACAACTCTAAACATTGGTGCCCTCTTTTTGTCATAGAAACTATTCATGAAAGTTTCTTGATGATTGAATATGACATGAATGTTAAATGCTTTCACTGCTAAGTTGATTCATACTGTGCTTAAAAAAAGCTAATTAAGCTGAGAGGTGACTTCACTGATTTGGTGAAGCTCTCAGGCTATTATTCCTCTGCTCAGCTGGACTTACTCCTCAAGTACATCTATAGTTTCCCATCACTTTCAGTTTCAAGCTTTGCTCGTGCTTTTCTGAAATCTATTCTTATGTATCTATGAATCCTTTAGCTTATATTTAGTAACCAAATACTTATCTTTTGTCTATACTTAGGAAATTTATTTTTGTCATGGGTTATATGGTGTATTCAGTGACGACTAGTTAGTACCTCTGGTGTGAAGGCTGCTGAGCCCTTTTCAGGGATGCTTTCCACCTTTGGTGTCCACCTGTTCCACCTAACTCACCTGTGGCTCCAAGAAGCTATAGCACGTGCAGCGATGATAGCCCAGTAAACCATTTTGGCAGACAGGCTAAATCAGGTTGAGGGTAGATGAAGGGTCTCAAACCCATTGGTGAGTTAGGGGGTATCTACCCCAAACCTGTGAAGATTTCCCCTGATGGAATGGGCGGATGAGAATAGTCTGTTCCAAGAGACTGCCTTCCACGAAGGCAGCTGAAGCAGGCCCTGTAGAGTGCTTACAGCTTGGTTGATTGTGTCACATGGGAGACACACTGGCACAGGACCATCCAGCATGGCATGCCCTCATCAGAAAAGATGCTATCCTCTATGAGCAAAGCAGAATTGAAATAGTTCAAAAGAAATGTGAGGTGCGAAAATTTAAGGAATCCACCTCAAATGTTGACATGGACTATTTATGCCCCACCTGTAGTAGAACATTCCAAGCTCATATTGGTCTGATCAGCCACAGTTGGACACACTGAATCTACTCTAGCATAGTAATGCCATTTCTCTTTGAGAACAGAAGATAACAATCAACCAAACAACCAACTTTTGTCATAGAACAGTTTTGGTGCCCATATTTTCCTAGTTATTAACCTAAGCAGTTACCCAATTCTTCATATACATATCGCTGAAACATACTTTGCTCTCTATTTGTATCAACATTTAATAGCTAGTCACATTCAAAAAGAGTCAGCTGCTGCTTCAGGACTCTCAGAGTAACTTTTTCTCAGAAGTCAGAGCACATCTATGCCTTATACAAGTGAACTATTAATTTAGCAACTGCTTCATCTCAAAAATAGACTCATGCCCCCAAATACATAAACTGTTATTCCTTTAAAGGGTCACTCTCTTAGAAGAGATGTGGTGAAAAAGAAAGAAAGAAGGGAGAAAGAAAAGTGAAAGATACTAGAGAAAGAAAGATTTAGAGAGAAAGGAGAAAAAGCAAGGTCAAATTTTTAACCTGCCTTTGAGGTACTAAAGTGTAGGTAGGGCTAAGTCATTAGCAAGTTATTGTTTCCATTGCAATAATAGTGGGTAAAATAAATGATTTTAGGGTTTTATGTATTTTTGAGGGGGGTACTGATGAGATATGAGACCTGAACCCCTATAAAAAGGGGTTCCTCAGTCCTTGAACTTTTTCACACTTCAGCCCTGGTATTTCCCTGAGACATCTGGTCCATCCCAGTATAATCCTTTCAACTGTCCTTTCATTGTGGCCTAGAACCCAACCCAGCCTTTCATTGTCTGCACCTGGCCCACCCCAGGCTAGTTGCCACTCATTGATCCCATCCAGATTTTCTTACACTTTTTCTGTATAAAAGTACCAATCTTACCCCCATTAAATTGCAAAGATTCTTAGAATCTTGCCTACTGAACTGGTGTTATAATAAAACCTCACTACTCTGACTGAAAGAAGGCTGGAGTGGTCAAATTCTTTTGAGGCAGACCCTCCCCTGTACCCTTTCATTTTGGCGTTCCTAGCACCCCCAGATCACATCATATTTGGTTCCCCGACTCCATTACCTTCAAGAACTCAGTAGTCCTGTTATTATAACAAAACCTCAGAAAAGGACTTAATTATAAATGACCTACATCAATTTAGTCAAAAATGTTGCATAGATCATGTGCAACTATGGGAATCTAATTTATAAATTTACATAAATTCTTATATTTACTCTAGTAATATGGGAAATAAGCTAGTAGTTGAAAGTGGAAAATACTACATTACCGCCTACACAAATTTGATTCCTTTTTTACTATGCACTTAGCTTAATCAGTTGAAGAAAACAAATGCTAGGTTTTGTTTAGGGCTTCCAGCAGAGGGAAATAAGAGTCAGTTTCCTTATATATCCAGTGCCTGATTGGATTTAAAAGAGGCAGCTTGGTGTAGTGAAAAAAACATAGGATTCAGTCAGGAGATTTGAGTTGGAATTCTACCTCTGACAGAATCTTGGGCAAGCTATCTAAAGAATGGGTTGCAATGAGAGATAGAGGTCTCTTCCTTGCTTGAGATCTTCAAAGAAAGGCTTGATTACTGCTTGTCACGTATGTCATACAGTACAGTTTTACAAATGTAAGTTGGACTGTATAGCTCATTCAATGATTATGTAATACAGTCTCATTTAGCCTGCTTTCTTCTCTCTTAAATAAGAAGGTTGGAGTGCATGACCCCTAAGGCTTCTTCCAGACCTAAATCTTATAATCTAGTGCTTCTAGATCTCCACTGTCTCCAATCAATACAATACTTATTTTTGCATGTGTGAGCATGTCAAAAGAATAGCAAGGAAGCCTTTATTCATCACTAGGCAAAGAATGTGGTAGCTTCTCAGAGATCTGGTGTTTGTTTTTTGGAAGGGAGGAGAATTCTTTTCCTAAATCTATCAAACCTTAGTTTGGGATATAAAAACCAGAATCACAGCCAAATGTTTATCCTTATATTCAGACATCTTTATTTGAAGGTCTTTTGTAATAAGGGCTGCAAATCTCCAGAGCTATAACTAGGGTCAGGTGATTGGAGTGAGGAACACCAAAATTTAGCAGGAATTGATAGCGCTTGCATTCCTTTAGCAGAATAGAAACAATTGAGTTTAACATCTAGTTAGCAAGGATAAATAGTTAAAATAGAAGCTGCCAGATGTCTTCCCTTGCACACACC